AGAGTTATATTTTCAATATTTGCATCATTGCTACTTGTATTTATTTTGTATTGATTATGGTTGATCACAAAATAAATTCGAAGGCCTTCGTATGTTTTTAGACAAAATGATTTATTATATATTTATTTATTTAAATTATTATTTTTTGTCAAACAAATATTTTTATTGTGATCAAGCCAGAAATAATCAATGGTACCAAAATAAATATATTAATTAAGTAGTCGGATTGATGGCTTTATTTTTCCGATAACAAATTATGCATAAAGGGGTCAAAGTGCAATATTGACTTAGAGATTATTTATTATTTAATTGGAGTTCAATTAATTTCTTTTAGTGGAGTAGAAATTAATTTATGAATTAATTGAATTGGGTCTATGGACCGGGCCAATTATTAATTCATTGTAGCCAATAAAATAATAGGCCCAATGGATTCTCACTCATAGCCCAACTTGATATTGGAATCATATTAGATTTGAGACATGTGAATTAGAGATTGAGAAGGATTTGTTGTTTCATTTTCTTTATTTTTATGTTGCCTATAAATATACATGGTCTATGTATATTTTAGGGTGATTTTTGGAAGAAGGAAAAAGGAATAAATTTTCTCTCTCTAGAAAATTAGGGTTAGTGTTCTCATCTAATGGAGGCTCCCACAAGCCTAGTTTTCCAAGGTCATTCATGGAGGCATATGAGTGATTCCTAAAGGCAAAACAATTACCAAGAAGATAAAGATCCAAAGAGAATGCATCTTGCTAAGGGATCTACAATAAGTGAGAACATTCACTTTAGAGGAGAGATTTAAGGTTTACTCAAACCTTGATGTAAGTATTCAATCTTTTAATTGAATGATACATCATGTTTTATTTTTGCATAAAACTTGTCTCTATGTAATGAATCAAGATCTATGAATTTAAATCCCTCGAAAAGTTTTTAAAACTAGCACGTTTCCCAACAGTCACATCCATCCTCTCAACCTTACTTGGGTGCGCACTTAATTAGTACTAATGACATCACTAATACTTAATTTTAACTCTGGGTTGATAGAGACCTGAAAATAGTGTTTACATGTAGTACTATAGTGTTTTTTTTTCACTTGATGGGACCCTATCACTCAAAGTTTATGTAATTTGATTGGTCTGTCAAACTTTGTGGGATTGTTTGACCAATTAGAAACAATGGTTGACTTTGCACCCAACGCATTTTCAATGTCAACATAGTATAGACATATTAGAATCTCATGCATGACCAATTTAGTGTGACGATCTTTGAAATTCACTCTACTTTCTCTGCAGGTTAGAGAGCTTAGCATATAGAACATCAACAGGAAGATGTAAGATAAACCCCACCAAATAAGATGGGATTTATGAGGTTGTTGACTACATTTAGTTCCAAGTGTTTTTGTTGCATGTTTCGTGTTGTAAGTTAGTGGTGTATTAAAGTTAAAGGGTGGCAAAGTTTGACATTGTTTGTCAATGAAATTCAAACACGACATGAGATAAACAAGTTAAGGTTGACCTTAAATGGATTTAGGTCATAAACAGGTTGATACAGTTAATTCGTTTACTTAATCGTGTCATCTTAGGGTTTAGGGGTTCAACTTGTGTTACTCTTTTAATCTTACGTGTCATAATGAAGAATATAACTTGTATAACGTGTTATCTGTTTAGACCAGTTTAGCCATTTCAACATAAACCATTATGATTTTTACTTAAAACATTTGTATTCTATTTACTTGGTTCGGGGTGTTTGATGTTTTTATTCTTACTTTAAATATTTGGATTAATTGAATTTTTTTTTCTTTTTTTCCCTAGTATCTATTATTTGATTGAGTATTAAATGTTTCGTTTTTCTAAATAGGTCATTAAACATATTAACACGTGTAACTTGTTTAACAAACATGTCGAGTTAGTGTTAAAAGTTCTTGACACCATTATTAAATAGATTGTGTTTTGATTGACCTATTTAGTAATTAAAATACCTTTAAATCGACACGACATGATTATGATCAACGAATACAAATCGTCACTCCTAGAAAAGATAAAATAAAACATCGCAACTATGTTTGATAATTGATTTTTCTCATTTAAATAGCACTCAATTTGTTGTCGTGTGCACAAACTCTTGAGCAATGAATAGTACCCATTCACTTATGTGAGCCTTTTCAACTAGTTATTTTGCCACTCAATCATGCAACCTCATAATAATATTTTTTTCATATTTTTGTACGTTTCGAAAAATCTGGGAACAAAATTTTATGTTACTTGAGTAGGAAGGATTTAGAGTCAAAGCAACTATGGTAGCATGGTAAAACTAACATGGTGGTGGTGGTGTCACCGTTGAAGATATTTAACGTTTTTGTTTAAGGCCTCCAATTATATCGAGTTGGTCCCGTGTAATTCCAATCACATAGGCCGAACTCGTTTGGTTCATCCTATTGGCTCGGCTGACCCGAAATAAAACACACATCGTCACAAAAAAAATGTTGTTTTTGTTTGAGACGACGAAAACATAATTAATCAATCTAAGCTCCTGGGTTTATGTACTTTTGGCAAGTCAAATTGGTTGGATTAGACTCTAGTTAATAATATTTTAAATTAAAACAAGATTGGGTGGGTGACACCCTTGGAGTTATAATGGACAGGCATTTAAAATTTTTTCATGCCAAGTTAAGGATGATAGCCGGAACATTTTCCTAATCCCCTTTTTGACCAATCTAATGGCTGCAATTCAAACTATTGTATACTAAACAATATTGCATTGCTTGTGTGTATATAAAATTTGAACACATTGCATGTTTGTATATAAAATTTGAATGCATTATATGTATGTATATAAAAGATTTGTACATTGTAGAAAGAAGTTAAAAAAACACAATAAATTTTTGTATTCTTTATGCATGATGTATTTTTTTTTCTATTAATTTTCTTTTTAAATTATATATTCACGATATTTGTCACAACATGCACCACTTGGGTTTCGTAGTTTGGTACCATCAGAAAGTTTCAATTTGGTCTTCTGGGTTCTAGAACGGTTGGAATGACGAGACTACTTGCCTATTATGACTACATGGATATAAAATAAACCAAGACCTCAATTTCACTATTGTGGGGGCCATCCGGTAATGCTAGCAAATAGCGAGAGCTAGTTAAATGGTGGGCTCCACATAAAAATTGTTAGCAGATCTCTTTAATCGTGGGTGGGCTAACGTGGCTCTCAATAAAAGTTCACTGCCAGCCAAACTAGATGTATTATACCAGATGTCCTAATAATAGGATATACTCAGATGGTGCTAGAACGTTAAAACGAATTGGAATTGGATTTGGATCTAATCCACTAAATTCAAATTTGATAAAGTTATTATTGAATTCGATCCGAAATAATTTTTATTAAATGAATATTTAATCTGTAATATTTTTTTTTACTTTTAAGCTTCATTTGTTTTAGCGTAAAATATTTTTTTTTGTAAAATATTTTCTATGTAACAATTTTTTAAGTAAAATGATTTCTTTATTTTTAATTTTTCGGTATTTGACAAAAATTTTAAAAATATTTTTTAAATAGTGTCTGACTTCTAAACACATTTTTAAATTAAAATTAAAATTTTTATTTGAGTCATTGATTATTCAATTTTTTTCATACAATCAATTAGTCCAATTATTTTTATAGCAACACTAATAATTATTTGACAAGAAAAATAAAAAAATAATCAATTAATTTATAAAAAAAATAATAAGAAAACCTAAACAAATCTACCTATCATCAAATGCAACAAGTGAATTTTTTTTTCTTCTCCACTTTACGTTTAAATTAGTTAAAGTTGAAATAAATACTCCACTCAATAATTGAAAATATGGTGGAAATAGTTAACAAAATTTTAATTAACACTTGAAATTAGTTGATAAGATATACCTTCTTTGCATATGAGATTTTATCTGGGAAGGTTAGTTTTATTTTTAAAATTGAAATATAAAAATTTTGCTAATATATGATGATGAATTGTTTATGTTAATTTGGACTTTATATATATTTGGTGGGGTTAAGATATTCATAAAATGACGCTACCTTTCTAAAATTCTTAATTTCTTTAATTTTAATAATTAGGTAAATTGATCTACCTTTCTCATTTAGTCTATTATTCTAAGAAGAGTTTTGTCTCACATGGATTATTAATTGAAAAATTATTGAGTATATGTGAATTGAGTCTTTCAAAAGTTTGTTGTCACATATATCACACATCCATTCAGGACAAAAAAATGGCGAATTGGTAATGAGGAAATTAACGATTACGACACAAATATCGAATTGGGAAATTCATAGGTGTGTACCTTATACGCATATCAGATTAAAGTTCTTAGATGCTTATTCAATCTATTGGGCTTAAGCTTGAGGATAAGGAGTGACTGTTTTGGTTAGATTTTGTTTGTTAGTTTCTGTTTTGTGAGAGCTTTATTACTTCTGTTTTCTACTGTTTTTGGGAAAAAATGTGCAAAACTCTGTTTATATCCTTGCTGAGTAATGTTACCATGCTTGATTGATTTTTTGTGCCACTCTAATAAATATTGTCTAACAGAGTATTAAAGCTAACATATATACAAGATATATATATATATGATTAATTCCTTAATATATAGGAGTACTGGTAGATGACTAAAACTGAGAACTTCAAAGTTTAGGTTTTTTGAACCCAAATATATATAATTTGGAAAAGTCGTAGCAATATTTTTTAATCATCTAAATAGATATTTTGTCTAAATATTGCAGAAAACAGGCACAATCTGACATAGAAGCAGATATGCCTTATATTTATGTGTGGATTGTTTTTATATCATACATATCAACAGTTTACAACTCTCCATAGGACTAACACACTTTTACAATCAGTTTTATATTTAAATAATGTTTGTTTTTGTTCTTTAGCCAACACTACTTTCTTTTTGTAATTTGTCATCAAACTAACAAATTTTCTAATTAATATTAATTCCAAGGGTCCTCTGTATCAGAATTTGTATTTAGAGAACTTACGTCTTACGTCTGTAACGTTTGCCACAGCCATCATCAACCTTACTCCTGTTGTCATATTCATTCTTGCAAAAATTCTCGGGTGCTTAATAATTTTAAACTTATTCTTTACCGTCTTTCTTTTTCTTCTTTTATTATTATTATTATTTTATATATATATTGGCAGGAAAGAGAGCTTAAAACTTAGAACATCAGCTGGGAAATTAAAAATAATTGGGATCATATTGAGCCCAGTGGGTGTTGCACTCCTCACTTTCTGTCACCTTATGGAGATCAACATCGAGTCGATTAAATTTGACTTGCTCTCCCATGTCAAACATGAGACGGAAGAGAATCACAATTTGGTATTAGGATTAGGTTTAGCTATAATGGCCACTCTGTGTAACGCAATCTTCTTCATACTTCAGGTAAATACTACTTTGTTTAAGTAATATTATTATTTATGAGACCATTCAAAGATTTTGTTGGATTTAGATTCGTTTTAAGTTGGCTCATACTCGAGTATGGGGCTTGAAATGGAGCTGGTACAAAGTACATTTTTGGATTATTTTACACTTTTTAACCGATTTCAAATTGAATCAGGATTTTGAGTCTTTCTCATCTCCTGATCCAATATCAACATCTTTAGTAGGGTACATGAACCCTCTAGGCCCTCTCAAGCACCGGAGAGGATCCTACTTTTTTTTTTTTGGTAATACGATACTAATGACCATAGTTTTCTTCCTTCACTTTGATTGCAGAAGAAGATTGAGGATGATACTGAGCATTTTACTAATCCCCTCTTTGATCTTCAGGCTACTATATATATGCCCTATGTGTGGAGAAGGATTGGGCCCAATGGAAGTTGGGATGGGATATCAGACTTTGGGCTGCCACTTTTTGCGGTAATATGTACATAATCATTTTATAAATAAACACATCTTTATTTGGAATAATATACTTATCCTTAGAAAAGCTAAAATTATGCTAGTGATATATAGAATTATAGAAATACTACGTCGTTAATCAAATTCAAATATTATGGGCTTCTATTGTAGGGTGGTCAAAATGAAGGCAAACTTACACAACAAAATAATGGTCAAAATGAAGGCAAACTTACACAACAAAATAAATAAGGCAAGCTAGTGATATTATTTGTAAAGAAAAAAAAAATAGCAAATAAATTAGAAGAAAATTGGGATAATTCCATAAAAATGGGGTTTTGGGGTCAAAGGACAAAAGAATGTAGTCAAAATCAAAATTTCCAAATTAATGAAATTTTACATTATCTTTTTATTCCTAAAATAACCTTCTATTATTGTTATGAAATTATGCTACTAACCCTTTCAAATCGATCTAGAGAGAAGAGAAACACATCTATACCAATCCTCTCAAACTCTCCTTCTCTACAGCTCCTCTTTCCTCGAACTCCCGAATCACACCGTCAAAATCACTGTAAAAAGAATGAAGTCAAATTCCACTTTTCTGTTCATTTTCTTTATAAATCATCAGTTCTCAATGTAATTTCCTTTTTAACTTTGATTCCTTCCCCTATTTTACTTATTTATTTTTAATTTCCTTTCTAAGTTCTCAATGTAATTTCCTTTCTAACTTTGATTTTCCCCTCTATTTATTTATATTTTACTTATTTATTTTAATGTAATTTTTTTTTAATTAAAATAATGAAGTTTCACAATTATTAAAATAAATTTACTAAACAAATGAAATTGCCATTTAAACCGACACTAATAAATATTGCAGTATTTGATTCTCTCTGTTCTCTCTCACTACCACTGCCAAATTCAAGATCTTCACAGTATGTATATAGATATATAAAAATAAATAAGTAAAATAGAGGGGGAAATCAAAGTTAGAAAGAAAATTATATTGACAATTGAGATTTATAAAGAAAATGAATAGAAAATTCAAGATCTTCACAGTATGAATATAGATATATAAAAATAAATAAGTAAAATAGAGGGAGAAATCAAAGTTAGAAAGGAAATTACATTGAGAACTGATGATTTATAAAGAAAATGAACAGAAAAGTGAATTTTGACTCCATTCTTTTTACACTTATTTTGACAGTGTGTTTCGGGAGGTTGAGGAAAGATGAGCTGCTGGATAAAAAGAGTTTGAGAAGATTGGCATAAATCTCTTCTCTCTAGATATGAGAGGGATAGTAGTATAATTTCATAACAATAATAGAGAGGTATTTTGGGAATAAAAAATGATGTATAGTAATTTTCCATGTCAACATCCGACTTTCATAAAATTTCATTAATTTGGAAAACTGGATTTTGACTTCATTCTTTCGTCTTTTAACCCTCAAAACTCCATTTTTATGGAATTATCCCAAAAAAATTTGTATCAAACAGTGATTTGACTAGCAATATTTTATGGAGTGAAGATTAAGTGTTGAAAAATATATATGAAGAAATAATCTATGTGGTCGAACTGAAGATATTAAGGGGTTTTTTTTTGGTTAAGGTAATGAAGATACTATGGTAGATGATATGAATAATTTAAAAAAAAAAAAAAATTAATAATGAACGTGTGAAGGGAGCTATAAGTTTAATGCTTATAAATAATAAAATTAAAGAAAACATATTTAGGTGATATTATTATATTTATGGTAGGTTCAATGGGCATTGATTAGAAGAGAAATGTTAAGTTGGGCAAGTGACTTTATGGACCTGTACTAAAGGAGGAAGGATGACGGTTGTGTGTAACAAATAGGAGCTTTATAGGTAACTTCTTTTTAACCGTACCCACTCAACACTATGCTCCAAAATAACTCCAATTAAGCAATAAAAAAAAAAAAAAAAAACTTCTTTCATTAATAATTTTTTTAAAATTATTGTTAAAATAGGAAAATAGTAACTTCTATTTTTATTCCAAACTGATTTTCTTAAGCATCATTTGGGGACCCAATCCAAAAGATTGACCCATATTGACAATCTTCTGATTTCTGACTCACCTCACAAATATTCCAGTCGCATCTTCACAAGATCGAGGAATAAAGAAAGCGTAGTATTTTGTCTCGTATCACAAGATTATGCCACGCAGGCATCACACGGGTTTACATAAGGATGACATGAATAGTTTACATGACTCAAAAACTTTTCAAACTTTTCTGTTGCAGGCGTTATGGATTTCTCTATAACAGTGTGGGATGTCTAGGCCTTTTTTAGTAGTGTCTACATAGTAGTCAAAGTTCTCTAAACTTGTCTTGTATAGTATAGATATTTATAAACTTGTAGAGATTGTTCTTTGGAGGATTTTAGAAACTAATTCTAGAACTCTCTTTTTTAGTAGTGTCTACATAGTAGTAAAGTTCTCTAAACTTGTCTTGTATGGTATAAATATTTATAAACTTGTAGAGATTGTTCTTTGGAGGATTTTAGAAACTAATTCTAGAACTCTTTCCCCCTTTAGAATAAGGTCACTTGTTGACATCCTAATCACTCATTGTAAGGCTAATGGCCCGTTTACTAACGCTTTTACTTTCTTATTTTTACTTCCTAAGAAAGTAAAATCATGATTTTGATTTTTTAAACTGAAATAAAAAGTAGAATTGTGTTTAATAATTTTTTTTACTTTCAATATTTTGAAAGCAAAAAAATAAGAAGTAAATTTAGTAATTATAATTTTTAATTTTATTTTTGATGGTCATTTTTCTCTCTCAAAAAAACGCTCTGTGGCTTACCTTCCATGGTCACTTGATAATTTGCCACAAAGAGAGATTGGTGAAGTGGGTTGAAGGGATTGAAGGTGGGCTTGTGAGAAAAGGTGAGCTGGAGTGGGTTGAAGGGATTGAAGGTGGCCTTGTGAGAAAAAGGTGAGATGGATTTAGGTAGGAAAGAAGTCGTAAGTATATGGTGTCTATCAACATAATAAATTAAAACATAATTTGTACTTTTACTTTATATTTTTAGGAATTGGAAGTAAAAAACAGGAATGATTCCTGTTAGTAAACAGGCCCTTAGTGTTTATATATGGAGATGAGACCTGCGTTGTAAGCACGTAGAGAGCGTAATAAATTAAAACAAAATTAATTATTCCATTTACCGTTCACGATGTTACATAATGTATCTATCACCACTTCCGGCCTGGTAAATTTGTCCCATTTAAATGTAGTATATATATATTTTGCCCATCTTTTTTTTCATTTATAACTCACTTCTTACTTAATTTCTCAGTGGAAATTTAGCAAAAGCAACATAATTAACTCCATCATCAATAATATCATTAGCTAGCTTTGCAGTGTCTGGTTGACCTATACTCTCCTCAAGTTTGATATCTACGGCAAAGTCATCGAATATACATAAAATTCAGCCTTTGCACTCTGGTTTTGCTGTGGTGTTATGTACTTATTAAAGTACTGATGGAATATACATAAAATTCAGCCTTTGCACCTTGGTTTTGCTGTGTTGTTATGTACTTATTAAACAACTTTGGTGAAAAATGATGTGATTTCTCATTTACAGAATAGTTGAAGATATACACAATATGATTGCCTAGTTTCCTCTATTAACAAACCTAAAGTAGGAAACAAGATCAACATTGAGTATAGGAATATTACACACTAATTATAAGAATATTACAACAGAATCATAATCCTTATACAATCCCTATAATCACGTTCTATCATACCCCCGCAAGCGCAAGGGTTCGGGAAAAATGCTAAGCTTGGAGCGATGAAGTTGGAATTGTTTCAGGTGCTTCATTGGTGAATGAAAGACCGGATTGGAGCAAAGATAAGTAGCACCAATTTTGTCACAATAAATTGTCGGAGAGGAAGAAAGACGCACACCTAGTTCACCAAGAAGATTCATGAGCCAATTAACTTCCGAAGTGGCGGAAGCAATTGCTCTATACACGGCTTCCGTGGATGAGCGAGCTACGGTATATTACTTCTTAGAACTCCAATTAACTGCATTGGAGCAAAGAAACACCACATATGCCGAAGTTGAGTGGCGAGTATCGGCATCACTTGCCCAATCCGCATCCGCAAAGGCATGGAGTGAATGAGGAGAGGAGGCCGAGAGGAAAATGCCATAATGAGATGTGCCTTTTGAACACGTTTCACGGCATTCCAATGAAGACACGAAGGACAATGCATAAACTGAGCTAGTTTATTGACCGCAAAACTTTACATCGGGGCGAGTGAGAGAAAGATATTGGAGTGAGCCAAGAACTTGACGGTACTCGGTAGAATCATGATAGGAGGACCCATCATCAAGCTTCAAAATCTCGGTGGATGATAGACGCGTGCTTACTTTTTTTGACTCATGCAGATTGGTTTTATGGAGAAGATCAAGCACATATTTCTTTCGAGTCAAGAAAAGCAACGAGTCGTTTCAACACCCAAAAAATAGCTAAGAGGGCCGAGATCTTTAAGTGAAAACCGAGAGGACAACTTGGAGATGAACTGGCGGATAACGTGAGGATTATGCCGGTGAGAATAATGTCATCAACGTACACAAGGAGATAGATAGTACATGAGCCATGTTGAGTAATAAAGAGAGAAGTGTCACTGCGGGAGTTAAAAAATCCATTAGCAAGGAGATACAACTTGAGTTCGTTGTACCATGCCCTAGGTGCTTGACGAAGACCATTTAGGGCTTTGTGCAACTTGCAAACATGAGACGGGCGGCTAAAATCAATAAAGCCCGGAGGTTGGTGCATTAAAACATTGTCAACATTGTTAGAAAGAGTGCCCTACAAGAAAGCATTATTAACATCCAATTGATTCAAATAATCTATCCAGGGACGTTGATGAAACCCTTTGGCCACTAGACGGGCTTTGTAACAGGCAATCGATCCATCCGGGTTCCTCTTGATTCGATTGACCCATTTACATCCAACAATATTTTGTGCGAGTGATTGGGGAACTAAGGACCAAGTGTTATTTTTATGAAGCGCAAGGAATTCTTCCTCCATGGCATTTTCGCCAAAGAGGGGGTTTATGGGCTTTAGTGAAAGATGTGGGTTCGGTGGTTGGGTCAAGGGAGGCCGAAGAGGTGGTGTGAAGGGAGAAGGAAATTTTGGGCTTATGGATGTTGTTCTGAGCTCTAGTGACCATCCGAGATGGTTGCACTTGTGGAGAATATTTTGGTGAAGGAGAAACAGTAGGCAGAGGAGAAGAACTATTTACCTGTGTTGGAGTTGGTGATGAGGCATCCTTGGAGAGGGTAGAAGTAGAAATTTTTTCGTGTGAGTGTGAGCTAGGACGGGAAAATGGGGAGGCCGAGCATGAAGATGAGAGAGTAGAAGAATTCGGTGGAGGTGTGTAGGTGGGTGAGGGAAGGGGAGAAAGTGGTCCAGATTTGGAAGGTGTGGTAAGAATGGTAGGTAATGAGGGAGTAGTAACAAGATTAGAGGGAATTAATGTTGTATCTTATGGAAGAGGAGGAGATGAATCGGGATGGTTAACTAATGAAATAGGACTAGATTCTGGTTTTGAACCTGTAAAGATGGAAAGTAATCTTGACATGGAGTGATTAGTTGGAAGATGAATCAAGAGACTTATTTTTATATGGAAAGGAGTCTTCAAAAAACGAGCATGCCTAGAAATAAAAAGCTTCCCTGTTTTAATGTCAAAGGAATTAAATGCGTGATTGGAAATGGAAAAACCGAGATATACACAGGGCCGGGATCGAGGTTCCCTTCATATACGAGCGCTCTTATAGTCCTGTCAAAATACATTCTTATACTCATTTTTTTTTTTTTTTTTTTTTCATTTTTAGTCCTGTCAAAATCATTGATGTTGGGATATGGTTGAAGTAGGACACCTCTGCAGCACTACACACTAGACATGCCACACGAGCGCTTGTTCTATTATCAAGACCGCTCTTCCTTCATACACATTAGACATGCCACACGAGCGCTCGCCCCTACATATTACCATTTATACATTACTCTTTTCTCTTTGGGTCACGGGCAAAAGAAATAATTTATTCAATAATTTTTTTTTTTTTTTTTTTTTTTGGGTTTCATCAAAAGAGAAAATTTATTCAATAGAGATTTTTTTTTTTTTTGAATCCTCCTTTTTTTGTACCTTTTTTTTTTTTTTTTTTTGTTCTTAACAAAAGATATAATTTCTTCAATAAAAATATTTTTTGGGGTTTTTTTTCCCTATCAAACGAGATAAAATTTTTAATGGTTATTTTTTTTTTTCGGTCCGGTCAAAAGAGGCAATTTATTCAACATAATATTTATTTTTGGTTATGAAAAAAAAAAAAAATTTATTGATAAGGAGAGGAAATCTGAAAGGTTAGTTGTATCATTTTATAAAAAATAATCATTTACTTGTAATGTTAAGGTTAAAATTGCCATTTCATTTAATATTGTAGTGCAATTGGAGAAAAAGTAGAATGATTATAAACTTGAGTGAAATCAGTATGTATATATGGAGTATATTTATAAAATATACTGTATGTTACAAAATTGGGATCACATATGAATACGTTGGCGTGGGCATTAGTGGCTTACTTTGAAAGCTTCTATATATATATATATATATATAACTATTGCCATGGGATATACACTCGTGAAATATATCAATAAAGCAATCTTGCGATTTTGGCTTTTTTTGAAGGCAAGTGTATAAATTATAGAGACTCATAATTAATAGGCAATGAGAAACTTAAAATGTAGCTACTTACAAAAGGCAAATTAGCCAAACCCACACACCTAATGCATGGTTAAACGTACCCAAAACAGAGATTGACTACTGGAGTATTTCATTAGTTAGACAATCAGTGATGGGAGCAATGATAGTGCTAAATCGCGGTCGCCGATAAAAGGAAGAAAGCAAGACAATGAAAACTTTGAATGTCTTTAAATAGTACGTAGTCAATCCATGCAGTAGCAAAACAGAGAAGACATATCTCTATCAATTCCTAGATCTCCTAGAGTCCTTTACTCTTTTTTTTTTCCAGCCCTGTCAAAATAGTTGAGGTTGGGATATGGTAAACGTAGGACACCTCAGCAGCACTATACTAGACATGCCACACGAGCGCTCGTCGTCCTGTGTCTTAGAAGCGCTCGTTCTATGAACAAGATCGCTCTCCCTTCATATACGAGTGCTCTCCCTGCATATACGAGCACTCTTATAGTCCTGTAAAAATACCTTCTTTACTTCCTTATCTCAATTTTTTTTTTTTTTTTTTTAGTCCTGCCAAAATAGTTGAGGTTGGGATATGGTTGACTTAGGACACCTCAGCAGCACTACACTAGACATGCCACACGAGCGTTCGCCGTCCTGTGCCTTAGAAGCGCTCATTCTATTAACAAGATCGTTCTCCCTTAATATACAAGCGCTCTCCCTGCATATACGAGCGCTCTTATTGTCCTGTCAAAATACCTTCTTTAATACTTCATTTACTCATTTTTTTATTTTTTATTTCTAATCCTGTCAAAATAGTTGAGGTTGGGATAAGGTTGACGTAGGACACCTCAGCAGCACTACACTAGACTTGCCACATGAGCGCTCGTTGTCCTGTGCCTTAGAAGCCCTCGTTCTAAGAACAAGATCGCTCTCCCTGCATATATGAGCGCTCTTATTATCCTGTCAAAATACCTTCTTTACTTCTTTTACTCTTTTTTTTTTTTTTTTTGTTCATTTTTAGTCCTGTCAAAATAGTTGAGGTCGGGATATGATTGACTTAGGACATCTCAACAGCACTACACTAGACATGCCACACGAGCGCTCGTCGTCCTGTGTGATGACCTTGTGGGCGGGTGTACCGTGGGCGGGTGCAAGAGACACTGTCAGGCTACCACACTGGCGAGCTACGGGTGCACAAGTCCCACATCGCCTGGGTAGAGGAAATGTGAAGTGCTTATATGTAAGTGCATCATCTCCAATTGGTATGAGGCCTTTTGGGGTGAAGCCCAAGAGCAAAACCGTGCGGGCTCAGGCCCAAAGCGGACAATATCATACCATGTGGTGGAGTGGGTCGTTACAAATGGTATCAGAGCCTGACCCAGCCGGAAGTGTGCCGACGGGGACGTCGGGCCTCCAAGGGGGGTGGATTGTGATGACCTTGTGGGAGGATGTGCCGTGGGCGGGTGCAAGAGACACTGTCAGGCTACCACACTGGCGAGCTACGGGTGCACAAGTCCCACATCGCCTGGGTAGAGGAAATGTGAAGTGCTTATATGTAAGTGCATCATCTCCAATTGGTATGAGGCCTTTTGGGGTGAAGCCCAAAAGCAAAACCGTGCGGGCTCAGGCCCAAAGCGGACAATATCATACCATGTGGTGGAGTGGGTCGTTACAAATGGTATCAGAGCCTGACCCAGTCGGAAGTGTGCCGACGGGGACGTCGGGCCTCCAAGGGGGGTGGATTGTGATGACCTTGTGGGCGGATGTGCCGTGGGCGGGTGCAAGAGACACTGTCAGGCTACCACACTGGCGAGCTACGGGTCCACAAGTCCCACATCACCTAGGTAGAGGAAATGTGAAGTGCTTATATGTAAGTGCATCATCTCCAATTGGTATGAGGCCTTTTGGGGTGAAGCCCAAGAGCAAAACCGTGCGGGCTCAGGCCCAAAGCGGACAATATCATACCATGTGGTGGAGTGGGTCGTTACATCCTGTGCCTTAGAAGCGCTCGTTCTATGAACAAGATCGCTCTCCCTTAATATACTAGCGCTCTTCCTGCATATACGAGCACTCTTATAGTCCTGTCAAAATACCTTCTTTAGTACTTCCTTTACTCATTATTATCATTATTTATTTATTTTTTTTCATTTTTAGTCCTGTTAAAATAGTTGAGGTTGGGATATGGTTGATGTAGGACACCTCAGTAGCACTACACTAGACATGCCACATGAGCGCTTGTCGTCATGTGCCTTAGAAGCGCTCGTTCTATGAACAAGATCACTCTCCCTTCATATACGAGTGCTCTCCTTGCATATACGAGCAATCTTATAGTTCTGTCAAAATACCTTCTTTACTTCCGTTACTCTTTTTTTTTTTTCATTTTTAGTCCTGTCAAAATAGTTGAGGTTGGGATATGGTTGACGTAAGACACCTCAACAGCATTACACTAGACATGCCACACGAGCACTCGTCGTCCTGTGCCTTAGAAGCGCTCGTTCTATGAACAAGATTGCTCTCCCTCCATATACGAGCGCTCTCCCTGCATATACGAGCGCTCTTATAGTCCTGTCAAAATACCTTCTTTACTTCCTTTACTCATTTTTTTCTTTTTTTTTTTCATTTTTAGTCCTGTCAAAATAGTTGATGTTGGGCTATGGTTGACGTAGGACACCTCAGCAGCACTACACTAGACTGGGGATGGCAATGAGGCGGGATAGGGCGGGGATCTCATTCCCCATCCCTATCCCTGATCAAATTTTTTACCCCCATACCTGTTTAATTTTCAACCCCCTCCCCCCATCCCCCCGCCCCGCATAATATTTTTCAAATTTCAATTCACCTTCAACAAAATCAACACAGCCATAATATTTTTCAACCTAATAATTTAATAAAGATTCGGCACAATTATAACAATTTAAAACATAATCAGATGTTTAATGCACAACGACTATGTTTTTTCTCTATGCTGCGAGGGAATAGATCTATGGCTTCACCGACTAAATACATTTATTTACATGACTCTTCTTACAAGAGAAAAACAATGAGCCGTACTTATATGCGGCGACTGCTACGAATTGTGGATTTTGGCTATTGTACGCCAGTCCTGGGTTTCAGGATTGGTTTCATCCCGAAATATTTTATGTGAATTCATTTGGCCTTTCCCTTGACTTACTCTATATCGGCACTTTTTTAATGTTTGGCACTAATGTCAGAAGGGTAAGTATTCTCTTGTTTCTTTATGTTATTTAGTTACTTCTAATATTACTTGTTTGGCTTGTTTGCTATATACTGTAATTAATTGGAAGAATTATAATAAAAATCAACTTCTTACCTCAAGGAAGAATTCAGAGAATCCTACAGCGGGATATTCTCTCTTGAGCTTGACCCAAATGGTAGTGAGTATCTTATTTGGTGGAATAGGTCTGAGCGATACTGGACTAGTGGGGCTTGGAATGGTCATATTTTCAGTTTAGTACCAGAAATGAGGTTGAATTATATCTATGATTTTAGTTATGTTAACAATGAAAATGAGAGTTATTTTACCTATTCTCTTTATAATCCTTCAATTATTTCTAGATGTATTATGGATATTTCGGGGCAAATTAAACAACTCACTTGGTTGGAAACTACAAAGGAATGGAATTTGTTTTGGTCTCAACCAAGAGAACAATGTGAATTTAATGC